TTGCCGATCTAGACGTCGACTTGGTTAGTTAGTACTCATCAACATGGACACGAACCCACTCCATCATATTCCTACCTACTAACCCAACCACCATGAACTTTTTCCTAGCATTTGCCCACGTACCATTCCACCAATTTCACCCCAATCATATAATTAACATGGACGGAATACACACCTTTACATGACTCAATTCCAATTCCAATTCCAATATAATTCAACCTAAGCTTTCTCACGTCGACTAAATGCTTTCCATACAAAACTCCTAGAATAAGCTAACGGCTTCCTCTAATTCCCAGGCACCATAACATCAGAATCCCCATTAAATCGAGAGAGTGAAGCCATGAGTACCTTTACACCAGTTGGTTTTGAGCTAATGGCTTCCTCTAATCCCCTTCTCTCGTTCCCGGCTTCAGCTTGTTGGCAGCGGTGCAATCTAGGGGGTTTGTGTTTGTTCGCTGGTACAAAAGAAAAGAGGGGTGCTTCTCGCGACAATGATTTTTGCTGGGGCTGGAGGTCGGTGTTGGGGCACTCGCGGTACAACGCTCCGCGGAGGAGATCAGTGCTGGGGGTTTCATTTCATTTTACTTCGCTCCCATTGATATATATATCACCAGAGTAAGGGTGAGGGAATTATTAAGGTTATAGTGGGACGGTTTGTTTTTTTTTTTTTTATAATTCTATTTCAATAAAAATTCATTAATTCATAATTGGGATTAATCAATAATGGGTATTAATCAATAACGGGTATTACTTTACCCAAACCCGATCCCAATCGATTTTGATTTTGACTTTGATTTTGGTTTGTTCAGCGGTGAGGAAATCTTGAAATCCCTGTCCAAAGGCTGGGTTGTGACCTTGGCGGTTTTCTGGACGAAGAAGTGGATCACGGCAGCGGCGGCATCTGTGCCTCTGGTGTCGCGGATCTCGTAGGATGATGCACTAGTCATCGAGCCTTTGACTGTTGTAGAAGATCTCCTACTCGTCGATGTCGACGAAGCCTTTTCCCTCTTGGAAGGTGCGGTGTTTTAGGTATCCGACATTTCGGTACCGGTCGATGCGGAACTTGAATTCCTGACCGCAGGTGGTGCGGAGGTGATGAGGTCGGAGAGCTTGAGGACCAAGTGGAGGACGTTTCCGCTGGTGATTACATATTCTTTGGTAAGATTAGGGTGAAAATTGCACTAACCCGTCCCTGATCCTGTCTGACCTGTATGTGAAGAGTCAAGATGTATAACTGACTCATCCCGTCACTGTCATCTTCTTGACCCTGTCTAACACTCAAGGGATGGGACGAGTCGGATCAGTGGGTCGACCCTAATCTACACACTACCTTTTTTACAAATTATGTTTTGGTACCCAAAATTATTTATTTTACAATTTAGTACCTAAAATTTATTTTTTTACAAACAAGTCCTTAAATTTTGATGGTAAAATTACATTTTGGTACCCAACTTTTTTTTATTTTTGCAATTTAGTACCTAAACTTTTAAAAGTTTTACAAAGAGGTCCAATGTGGTATGAGATATTTGTTGTTGCTAAGGGTCATAGGGTCAAAAAGTGATCCGTCACTAAGTTAACACGACCCGTCCCGACCCTTAAAGGGTCAAAAGCTGACCCGTCTCTAAACTGACCCTATAGACAAACTAACCCATCTCGACCCTCATGGACGGGATGGGTCGAGACGGGTCAGTGGGTTTTTAGGGTCAAACTTACACCCCTAGGTAAGATTAGCGCTCAATGAGAGCTATCGGCCTCCAAACACCAGTTTTTGCTTGCAAAGGTGGTGGGGGATTAAAAGAGATTAGTTTTATTTTGGCAAAATATGTATAGCCATAACTTTCACACTTTTGACAAATATAGCCATTACTATTCGAAAACCACAAATAGCCAATTCCGTCCATTTAGGTAACAGTGTTAGTAGACTTTATGAATGGACTAACGGCTGTCGCTGAGTTGGCCACTGAGTTACCAGATGTATCCGACGTGGAAATAAGACGTGGAAAAAAAAACTTAAAAAAAAACAAAAGATGAAAGCGACCCAGCTGGCCACCACCACTCGTCCATTCTTTCTTATCTCTTCGTTTTCTTTCCCCCTTCACCTCTCTTCCTCCGACCACGAGACGACGACGATGGATTGATTTCGTCCCCCTTTCCGATCTTACTCCGATAACCCCCTTTCAGTTTTCGTCCGTCGCCCTAATCGTCTATAAATCCCCATCCCAACCCCGAAAACTAAAGCTATTATCATCCCCGATTTCGCCTCCCTTCCAATGGCGAACTCTGGCATGCATCCTGACTAATCGACCGATGGCCACCGTTTCCCGATGCAACCCAAGCATTCTAATATTGAAGAAAGCATCGACGAAGCCTAGAAAAATCTTTTCTCGCCGATTCTCCAAAATCCTAATTTCACAGTAGAAAGCGATTTCTGGCGCGATTGGTGAGTTTTTCAGGGAGAGGGGAGAGGTTGGTTGGGGGTTTCGATTATGTGTATGTTGTTTCTTACCTCCTCTTGTGTCTTTTTGTAGTTGTGACTCGCTGTAAAGAAGGAAAGCGACTCTACTGATTCCAAAAGGGACCACTTCGGATTTAATCTGTGATTTTACCAAGATTGCCCCTCAATCCAACGGTGAGTGCCTCCAAATCCTGGGTAGAAGAGTCATTGTTGTCGTTCTTGGTCAAAACCCCTAGAATAGAATAATGGTGGAAGATCGTGCTACTGTTTGTTTGTTAGTGAATTAAAATAGGTAAAATATATCTTGATTAGGTTAGTAATGACTTTATTTATTGGTTTATTAATTCTTGTTTATCTTATTTAGGGTTTAGATGGCTGATTCATACGAGGAGCAAGGTGGTGAGAATGATCCTAACCACGTAGGATCAGAGAACGCTAGCTTTGGTAATTTGGCTCGTGAAGATGAAGCTGCATCTGTGGCACGAGATGTGTTCCATATGTATGATTCTGACGATGCAGACACGTCTAATGATGAGTACCATGATGCTCGGAACAATTTATTCGCCTATGGGGAAATGAGAAGGAGGAAGGTGAAGGCAAGGAGAGATGGTCATGGGGAGGAGGTTGAACAACTAGATGAGTATGAGGAAGATGTTTCTCACAATGGAGCAGAAGATGAAGATGATTTGGAAGAACCTGATCAGGCAGCAGTAAATGATGGTGCACCAAGTCAAGTAGTTGAAGATGATGTAGTCGAAGAATATGGAGCACCTCCTGTTCAAGAACCAAGAAGAGAAGACTCTCAACACTCTAGCTACAGGCTGTCAGAGGAATCTGATCATGTTAGGAGCAACCTTTCGGACGAGGATGGTGGAGAGCCATTTGGGGATGCTCCACACTATGATCCAGACTGTGATCACAAGAAGTTTCAATTTAGCTCATGCTATGTATTGGGGTGCTAAATTTGGCTGTGTGAGGAACAGATGCCTGTCTCAAAATTCGGATTAAATTTGTAGTGTATGGAACAGATGGTTGTGCTCCATTTGGATTATATATTGTATTGTAGGAACAAATGGTTGTGTATTGTGGAAGTGTTTGGTAGTATATTGCACCTTGTATTTTGAATTCAAGCTATCCTCACTTTTTACAAACACTCGATATTTGAACAACATCTTACCATCCAGGAAAGACAACCATTGCATTAGACAAGTAGAATTCTTAACATTAGACAAGAAAGACAACCATTACATCAGACAACCATTACATACCAGATTCGTATCCCCACAAAACAAGAAGGAAAGAGGCATTCACAATAAGAAGAATTGTTAACATAATACGAATAAATCGAACATCGTCATTCAATCTCCTTCCTTGGGCTAACAGAGTCTCACGATCTTTCATCCAGACCATCATATCCTGAGCTAGTCTCTTTTTCTCCTTCTTCCTCCTCTCTGCCTTAGACTCAGCGAGGAGCAAACTATGCTCGAGTTGGCATATTAGGCTCTCCATAGAACCCTTTCGGTCCTCCATTTCATCCCCAACCATCTCAACCCACCTAAAAAACCGACAATTTTTCTTCCCTAGATTTTCACTCTCATTCTGCACTATCCATATGGTATAGTTAGAGGTAAGAACACTCAAAGGGACCGAAATAACTCGAGAATCAATCTATCCCTTACCTGCTTCCAATAAGGACATCCATAAAATTGCCTGTCTGGGTTAGTCTCGGTACCCGACGTCTTAATCATGGCGGGGACATTGTGCTTGCAAAGCATAGTCCCACACCCGCTAACGTTGGTCGCTGAGGTAAAGACCCGCTGTGACATCGCTGCACATCGAGAAAATGAAGGGGATTTCGGAATGGCAGATGCACGAGCAAAAAAGGACTGAATGACGGCAGTGGTGGTCTCGAGCGGCAGCGTCGTGGTCTCGAGCGGCAACGTCGTGGTCTCGAGCGGCAACGTCGTCTCCACCAAGTGCGAACCCTAAATCGTGAGAATTTTGTTTTTCGGGTTGTAGGGAGGGAGAAGGGAAGTAAGTAAGCAAATATTAATTTTTTTTATTCTACACGTGGCATTCCACGTGTACATTTTGATGAAGTGTCAATCATGTGTCAAAGCAGGGGTATCATGGAACCGCAGACGGTGTTAAAGTTTCTAACGTTTTTGGCTTGATTTGTGGTTTTCGAATAGTAATGGCTATATTTGTCAAAAGTGTGAAAGTTATGGTTATAGAGATGTATTTTGCCTTTTATTTTTTTCATTTTTGAATGGGTTGGGATAATGAGGTGGAAATTTGAACATATTAAATTTATTTATTATTATTATTTTTAATTGACACATCACTGATTTAATAGTCAGCTATGATTGTTGATTGCTACATAGGATAAAGATAACGAAGACTCAGAATGTGACTAAATTTGAACGGTTGAATTAATATTAATAACCAACAATGAAATAAAATAATTTTAGTAGCAAACATGAAATTGTTTGGTAATCTTAGCTACCAAACTTGCAATTTATCTTGGAAGAAAATATAAGGGTCAGTTAGAAGCGGTTAAAGCCCGACCCACCGTACATAAAGTGGGCGTCACGCCGTCACCATCTCCGGCACTCCATCCGATCCGATCGATCTGTTCTCTCTCTCTCTCTCTCTCTCTCCGGTCTCGACCCTTTCGCTTTTCTTCCGATATCTCAGGACCCGATAAATCCTCGCCTATAATCGAAGCAGCAGTCTGCAGAGTAAAGTAATGGGCTCCGAGCAAAAACCCGCCATCTCCATCTTCATCGGGTGTACCTTCCTGGTCTTCAGCCTTGGCATTCCACTCGTCTCCTCCCTACCTTTCGTCGTCTTTCATGGTAAAGATTTTCCTTTTTGCTGAAGGCCTAGTTAAAATTCTTGGTGTTTGAATTATCTCCATCTACTTTGAATTGAGCGCTTTGTGTTTCCCCCCTTTTCTTTTTGTGTCAGGTATTGGTGATCATTGTGGCAACAAGGGAATATCTCAGTTCGTTGAGCTATTAAGTCAGTGGTCTGGCTCTCAAGGATATTGCCTGTATGCTCCAATTATTTATATTGCTGTTTACCTAAGATCCTTTTGTCCCATGTCGAGCGAGTTGTGTTTCATGGTGCCTTTTCCCGTTTTCCAGTGAGATTGGAGATGGGGCATGGGATTCTTGGACTATGCCCCTTCTAGATCAGGTTATTTTGTGGCTCTATGCTCGTTTGAGTATCTTTTCCTCAAGGGCTTTTCCTGCTATCTAACACTTCATTGTTTTACTTTTTATTGCAGACAGCTGCGGCCTGCGAGACGGTGAGTAAGCTACTGCAAAACAGAATTTGCGTCCTGCTTCATTTTTTGTTTTCGGATCCGGAGTTCAATGCTTCGGTTGTATTGCAGGTGAAGAAAATGGGCGAACTCAGCAGTGGTTACAACATAGTTGGTCTTTCTCAGGTGGTCAATAATTTGAAATCTGCTGTTTCGGCAGTTATAATAGAATGCAAATATGATCCTTGGTTTTGTTATGCCTATCTCTATGGTGATACTCACTCATATGTCAGACCAATATTTGTTCTTATGTCAAATGTTTGTTCTTTATACAGTGCTCTTGGTGCCTGCTTGTTTTCTGCACTCTGCCTCTTGGTTTGATACTACAGTGCTCTAATTCTTATAGATAACTTTAATTTTTCAGGGCAACTTAATTGGAAGAGGGATTGTTGAATTATGTGATGGGGGACCTCCGGTACGATTTTATCTGATGCAAACTTATATGCTACCTATGTGCTCCATCCCATAACTATCTAAGACAAAAGTCTTTCTTGAACCATGGCAATTAACGAAAAAAGATGTGTGTCTTGAATGATGTTGTAACTGGTTAAGCTAGCTTATAAAAACACAATCTAGTGGTGTTAGATATATATCCAACTACTTAATCTTTATTTGCTACCACCCGTCTTTGATAGAGTACTTGCTTTTTATTTCTTTCCTTCTGAAACACTTTTTTGTCATGTATGTATCTGTAACAGGTAAAAAATCTTGTATCTCTGGGTGGTCCTCATGCTGGTACTGCTTCAGTTCCAATGTGTGGAGTAGGTGCCACTGAACTAATTCCACTGAATTGCTTCCTCAGTTTGCTTTCGCTTGCAGAGAAGGTGACTGTGACTATTAATGCTCCTCCTAATATGTGTGCCCTTCTATTTTTCAGTCTGGCATTATATGCATTATTTTGGATGCATTGCTCAAGCTAGAGATATACAGCAACTATGTCCAGGTATGTGCTAGTCACACAATTGCAGATGACTATTAGTGATTCTATTTCATTGGAGCTTCTTTTCTACTCCAGGATAGAAGGAAGACCAATGTGTATTGGTTGTTGAGATCCTTCTGAAAGTCTCTATCTTTCTCATTTGATTGCAGGAACATTTGGCTCCAAGTGGTTATCTCAAAATCCCAACTGTAAGAACATATTCTCGATAAATGTTCTGACAAGACCTACTATTTTTGTTTAACTCATGATATGCGTCAAGCCTCCAGCCTGACCAATCTTTCTACTGCTGAATACCAAAACCACACATTGCTAGATCATTACGAGAGTTTTAAGTGGATAAATCATGCAACTGGGTTTCCTTTGTAACTTCTGGTCTGCGATATGATTGCTTCAGCTGCAAGATTGCTCCTTAAGTGCTGTTTTATTCTGTAGGACATTGATGATTATATGAAGGGATGTAGATTTCTACCCAAGATTAACAATGAAATCAAAAGCCTGAGAAATGCTAATTACAAGGAGAGGCTTACCAGCTTGGAGAATTTAGTGTTGATCATGGTGAGTTTTCACTTTGTTAGTGTCTTGTGATCTACTTTCCATCTTCTGCTTACAAATATTCTTAACAGTTTGATCAGGACACAATTTTGATACCAAAAGAAACTGCTTGGTTTGGGTATTATCCTGATGGTGGCTTTGGTTCAGTGCTGCCTGTAAATGAGGTGATCTTCTGCTTCCTGAGATTTCTACTAATGATTATGATGATGAGGACTTGAGTTCTCATGTTGAGTTTTTGTCTAGTGCTTAGTCAGCCACTTCCAGTTTAGTCACTCTTTAAGTCAAACTTCAAGCATCAATGAGCTCCATGACTGTTAATTTGGAACCTTAGCAACAAGGTCGTAGATCATAGTGATAGAAACCCAGTGTCCAACGTTAACGGGTCTCCCACCATTATTATTATTATTATTAGGATATTCCTTTAAGATTAGTAGTATTTCAATTGTATTAGATTAATTATTAGGAATTTCCAGTATTTCATATATATAAATGGGTCAGACTGGTGTACGTCAGGCGTATACTATACGTCAGGTACTACTAGTGAGATATCTCTATCTAGACCATGAATTAAACCGAGTTTGGGGTATGATACTATACCCTAACCTCTAATGGATAAACCCCAGGCTCAGATTTTCTAAACCCCAACCCGAAGTTTTATTTAATGAAAAACAAAAATTAACCGTTGAGATCGGCCGGAGCTCGTCCAAGTACATCTAACGGCTAGATCACCTGACGTATAGTATACGCCTGACGTACACCAGTCATCACCATATATAAATATAAAAATATCCCCAAATCTCTAATCTTAATCTGTCTCCTTCCTATCAAGGCCATCGGCCCTTCTCCTTTAATTCTGCCCAATTCTCTTTGCAATTTCTAATCTCCCAATTTTGTGCTTCCTATGTTAAATTCCTAATTCTTTCCGATCATCTCTCAAATTACTAAATCTCCGATTTTTGTCTTGTAGTCCCTAATTCCCAAATACCAACTAGAACCGAAGGCACCCTAAATCACGGGGTTTAGGCCCATTTTAAGTTGAAATAAAAAACTTCCAGCCAAGTAGTTCTTATCTCTTAAAACCCGTATAGTTCTGACAACGAAATCCTGGTTCTGACCATAATATTAATGACTGTTTCATATGGATTAGATATGCTGTCATTACCCTAACTTCCTTCAACCAGAAGCCAGAACGCTATACTCATTCCTAATGTACTATGTATTCCTGCAGACTCAGCTCTATATTGAAGATTGGATTGGAGTGAAAGCCTTGGATGAAGCTGGGAAAGTGACGTATGTGACCATGTCTGGTAATCATCTTGAAATATCTGAAAGTGATATGAGAAAGTACATCGTGCCATACTTAGAGGATAGCACATCATTGAAGATCACGACACCCGAATCCCCTTCCATCCGTCCATGGTATTCATCAACCCTAGACTTTCTACTCGAACTGACTGGACTAACACAAGGTCAAGGTCAACCTGTTCTGAAGATTGTCTCTTGAAACACTCAAGTAATATCTCAGGGTGAACTAGGCACTCCCCTTGTATATTATTCGAGAAGGACTCATCCAACGGTTACTTTTCTGTATCAAAGAAAGTGAAATATAGACCTCTGCTTCTGGAATAGTCTGTATGGAAGCACTTCTGAATTCTTAATGGAGGTTATATTTTTAAAAGAATATGTTTAGTTAAAATAAATCGATCACGCAGATCATACCAATGATATTTATGTCGGTTTCAGGACCAGCACTAGTTGAACCAGGTTTAACCCGGTCGTCATGACAACCATGGTTTCCCCCTTCTTTTGGTAGAAAGTGATGCATTTTATAGGGATCGGATCATGTTACAACCCCAACTTTCTACCAAAAAATAAGGGAAAATGTGTTGTAATATTGATATCCAATTTGCTACATTTTGAGCAAAGAAAAAATAACTCTTCAAAATACATATCGGTTGTAGTATTATCAATGTCATATCAGTCATATCAAGCATAAGACCTCATACTAACATCATATCAATCATATCATGACATGATGACAATGATATGATGATACATCTCTTTCATTTCAAATAAAAATTAAAAAATAATTGTATAGAAAGAACACATTCATTAAGATCTACATAGTTATATTTTTTAAATGAACTCATATGGACTTGATATGATATTCATATGAACCGACATGATCTTGATATGAATGATATAGAACTGATACGCTCTTAATATGAATGACATGAATTTGATATGATATGAACTTATATGGGGAGTAGTTAGTATAACACCCCTTGTGTTGTTATTGTAACAACACTAGTCTTCAACCAATAGGAAGCTAGGGATGTGATGACTTTTATTAGTTGAGTTGACCTAGTGTAAAATCAAAGCAGGTGTATAATTGTAATTCTGAAAATTATGTTTAAATAATAATAAAAAATTAATAACAAAAAAATCAAATATTTAATTTTTTTATTTTTTGCCCAAAATTTCGTTGCCAGAATCTGACCGCCGGTCACCGGAATATGCTCTTTTGTCACCGAAATATGCCCACCGTCGCCGGAATCCAATAATCGTGGTTGGAATATGCTTACCGGCATCGGAATCTACTCATCGAGACCGGAATATGCTTATTGGTGTTGAAATTCGGTCACCGATGATCATCTGAGTTTGGTCAACGGTCAACGATCACCGGATGTTATGGTCTGTATTGTGAAAATTATGGTTTGGTTTCTGACGTTTTTTTTAATGCATTTTGTGGTTTGCTTTATCGTGTTTCTGGTTTGCATTAAAAAGTTTCTGGTGTGCTTTCAAAAAAAATTTGGTTTGCTTTGCAGGGTTTCTGGTTAGTTTTAATAGATTTTTGGTCTGAATAAGGACGTTTCTGGTTTGTTTTTTGTGGTTTGCTTTATCGTATTTTTGGTTTGCATTATGAGGTTTCTGGTGTGCTTTCGAAAAATCTGTGGTTTGGTTTGTGAGGTTTCTGGTTTGTTTTAGGACATTTGTGGTATGTATTGGGTGGTTTTTGGTATGTTTTTTGTCGTTTGTTTTATCGTGTTTGTGGTTTGTATTATGAAGTTTCTGGCGTGCTTTAAAAATATTTGTGTTTTGTTTTGTGGTGTTTCTAGTATGCTTTAGACGATTTGTGGTATATATTAGGAGATTTGTGGTGTGCTTTAATAATAGGGTAAATACAATTTAATATCCAAACCTTTCATTTTAAACAATATAATAGCCAAACTTTTTTGAAAACAATCTAATATCCAAATCGCCAACTTTCCGTTCGTTTAACCGTTAGTTGACACTTCAAAAAGCTTTGTTTAGGGGAAATTGTCACAATACAACTTTGTTTTCTTGTTTTGGCATTGCAGATGACTGAATATTTAGATATTCTATACCATCATGGTGGAGTCATGGACTTGTCGGGTTCGAAACTACGATATGTTGGTGGGTTTTTAGAGAAGATCTCGATGGATATTGATGAAGTGTCGTACTTCGAACTTTTTTGAAGTGTCAACTAACGGTCAAACAGACAGAAAGTTGACGATTTGGATATTATATTGTTTTCGAAAAGGTTTGGATATTATATTGTTTAAAATAAAAGGTTTGGATATTAAATTGTATTTACCTTAATTTAATAATATGTATTGAAAGATTTGAGGTATGCATTAAATGATTTTTTTTGCCATATTTTTGTGGCCAGATGCAGAAAGACACCACCAAAATTTGTAGCATCATCGTTTGAGTTGCTACTTGCAAGTTACTACTTACATCCATATAACTAAAAGAAGCATATGCAGTTCCCTCAAGTACCACTACACAACCGACATGGATCCAAATGACATAATCCTAATAAAATCCAATAAATACCCAACAGGGGAATTAATATAGTGATGAAGTAGGCTTGACAATCAAAATGAAATGCAACAGATGAAACTAACCGTAAGCATAGGGTAATGGCAAATTCTCTACATCCCACACTACATATTTTGGTTTGACTAATAAATAAATCCATGACCACGGAGGACATATAGAAGCACTTGATCAACCATGCACTGCTCTCCCAACTCCAAGAACGTCTCTGAAATCCTAATTGCAACACGAAAACAAGATTCTGATTCTAGATCACAAATCCAATTCCCACGAAGAAAAGAGACTAAGAATCGAGTAGAAGAAATAGAACTGAACCAATGCCTTGATCCTCCCCAAGGCCCCATGAGCGCTTCTCGTACACTGATGAATCCAAAAGTTTCCGTGGCGGCGAAGCTGCGTCTCTTGGCGAAGAATCGGCCAGACAATCGAGCATTAATCGGCGAATCCGGCGTTAATTCCTCTTCTTCGGTGTAGCAATCTGTTGACCCAGGAGAACGTTTTCACGACTCTGTTGAATCTCTCCCTCCACGAAGGCAACAAGGACCGCCAGAGCTATCAAATCTCTGGTCTACGTGCTGAAGACAGGGACGGAGACATCCACGACCGGCAGAAGAGCTGCCTCAAATCGTCGTCGCCACATATTACGACTCCAGATCTAAGATGATGTGGCTATGGATTCGACGATTTCTGATTGGATGGTCGAATCCAAGTCTCAAAGACTGCGAATGAAAGGGGCCTTCTGCTGGTAGCACACCTGCGCCACCGCGGCGCTCTCCGTATCCATCATCGTCGCACTGAACTCGGCGGTGGTGTGGTTGTGGTGGGGAGAGAGTCGACTGGTGCGATGCGCCGACGATGGCAGAGGATTGGCGTTGGAGAAGAAGAAAAAATTGTTGTTCAGAGGTATAGATCTGACCGCTGTTGTTGGGGAGAGAGATAAAACACGCTTAGGGTATTTAGTTTTTTTTTTAATAATTTGTTATTTTTTATTAGTTTACTATTATGCCCTTGTTGTTAGTATAACAACAATTAAGGTGTTGTTATACTATCTGCACCCACTTATATGATATTAAAATTAGCTAATATGAACTCGTATGAATTTATATGAAAATAATTTGAACTGATATGATCGTGATACGAATGATATGATATGATATGATATGATATGATATGAACTGATATGATATTGACTTGAACTGATATGATATTGATACGGATGATATAGAACTGATACAATCTTGATTGAATGACGTAAACCTGATATGACGACCTTGAAAAAAATTTGTTCCAAAAAATATCAAAATGGATATCATCTTGTAAAGTACAAAAGATATGATTTTTCTTTGCAAAATTATTGAAATAGACGTAAAATGAATGCGCTATTGTTCGTTGAATGTTCGTGAAAACTGACTAGGAAACCATTCCCGCTCACCCCAAATTCCTGGCAACGGGCAGTAAAATCCGGACAAGCCTCTTTTTATCCCTCTCTACCCCTTTATAATATTGACTATTAAATCTCTCGCTATCAAATTACAAATGTTAAATCTATTTTTGTAGTACTACAAACCAATGGGGTTTTGTAAAATACTTCCAATCCATTAATTACATTTCTCTTCCTCTCTCTCACTTTTCCTTCTCCAATAGCCTATTTGCATTTCACTAGAGAAATTCTTCCAAACATATTCTTGAGGCAGACTCCCGCCTCCCACCTAGCAACAAAAAAAGGTACCACTACATTAAAAATGTACCACTAGACTAAGAAAAATAGTACCACTACATTAAAAGAGGTACCACTCTAAAATAATATCACTATTAAATATTACCACTATATCGATAACATTACCACTAGAATAGAAAACCTACCATTTGATTGAAAATCACTACCACTACACTAATAACATTACCACTAAACTAAAATTTAGGGCTGGCAACCGGTCGGTTTCGGTTAAACCGAGACCTGACCAGAAGCCACCGGCCACCGACCGATCTCAGCGCCCCGGTTAGCCGCAAACCGACCGGGCGGTTTTCGGTTCAGGCGCGGTTAAACCGGGGCAACCGACAGACTGGTGTGCAGTTCGGTTCAATGGTCTAACCGACCGAGAACCGACATCAAAACCCACCATTCCTTTCCCATTTACCTAGAAAAATCCATCCCTTCTTTCCCCATCTTCCTCTCTACTGTTCGTCAACAAAAAAAAATCCCCATCTATCCCCATCTTCCTCTCTACTGTCCATCCCATCTTCCCCATCTTCCTCTCTACTGTCCAGAACCCCAAATCCCCATCTTCCCCATCTTCCTCTCTACTATCCAGAACCCCAAATCCCCATCTTCCCCATCTTCCTCTCTACTGTCCAGAACCCCAAATCCCCACTACCTTCCGCCACATAGATCCCCATCTTTCTCCTTTTTCCAGATCGGAAACCACAAATCCTAGATCCCTTCAACCAAAAATCCTAGATCCCGTCGCCACCCTGCCAGACCCACCACCCCATTTCTTTCCCTGGTTTGCGAAACCACAAAATCCCCAAATCGCATATCTCTCCTCTTTTCGAAAAACCCATATCGACAAGTGGAAGATCCGACTTCGTCGCCAGAGTGTGAGAATCAACCAATTCCTCATTCGTAGCCGCCCTCGAGCACCGGAAGAAGAAGGCGACGAAGCTGCTAAAGATCATAGAAATCCCTAAATCAGATCTCCCAACCAGAGATACCGAGATGTCAGTGGCCGGCGATTCTCAGACGAGCACCGTCAGATCTGGAAATCCGCTTCCAAAACACTTCGCCCGCCATTGTCCACACCTCTCACAGCCTGAAGGGGTCGAGTCGACTGCGCTGCTGCCTAGGGTTAGTGGTGGGCTGGTGGCTGTGAATCAAGTGGGGGGAGGGGGGGCGTCGTTTTTGGGTCATAGGGAAGGGGGGTCGGTT